TCGTTTCATCGATGTCAACATAAAATCAGTCTTAGCTATGTGGTGCTCATTATCGTCGTCGTAAGCTGCTCCTTCAAAATGTCAAAATATTATATGGAAGCTTAACGAATGCTTAACCAAGCGTCGGATCCACCTCATGCGGTCCTGATCCAACCTATTGTACGAAATTGGACATTGCAGACATCTCTTCTGCAGTCGATCCATATTTGAAAGATCTCACGCGTGTTCAGCGGAAGACGAATCTGGAGAATGCTTGATCATAATGTGATGCTTCCAACATACATCGAAAATTTCCCGCAGTACCGCACAATGGCTGGACAAATCCGACAAGATTCTTCTACTAGCGCGCCCATTTCACCTGCAAAAAGCTTTACTAGTATGGCCCGTACAGAACGACCTGTAGCCTCCAACGCATGTCGATAAGTTATCAAAGCTTCTTCCCAAAATGTAAGGCTTGTCTTTACAACTAACTCCTCTAGCGCTATATATTTGAAATAAGAGCAGGTTGACTTTGCTTCAACTTTTAGTGAAATTTCAACTTGAAGTAAACTATACGATCACCCACTCAGAAGATTGCATTCATTCCACTATAGTTTGAAGTAACCGCAGTCCCCCTATCAAACGCTTTAGTGCAAGGATATGTCGCATAAGTTGACGTCCCCGCTTCGCTAGATAATATAAAAATATAACAGACTCGACCAGCAGACAGATTATCGACTGCATCCATTACTGCCATATTTTACGCATTATTCTTCCGTGAGGTGAGTTTATCATTCACGATATCTTGAAGCAAATTGTGGGCGAGGTCATAGCTTTTCAACTCCCGATAAACCAGAAAGGATCTAAAATCGAAGTATTGTGAAGATGTGGCAAATCAAAATTCTCAAAGCAACTTTGTTATTTTGTCTTTAATCATTTTGAATCGTATCTTCTTTTGCTTGGCACTCCAATGCACGATATTAAATTCATTGTACTTTGACAGAAATGCTTATTTTATTATGTTATCAACATAGCTGCCAGACGCTGGCAAAGCCGGTACTGAATTTCACATTGTGCAGCCTCCGTATCCAATATATCGCTTCAAGGCATTCCAATCGTACAACAGAATCTAGAAACGTTGCACACGCTTCACTTCCACCGACAATATCGATCTTGGTGCATTGCATTGGCAAAGCGAAAGCCACAATGTCCAAGGTCTGCTTGAAATAGATTGCGTTGGGCCTTCTTCTTAATGTCTCATCCCATCGAGACATCTTGGAGAGATTTTGGCACGTAACGGTTTAGCGACATGAATATTGGGTCTATCCCTGGCACAATTTAGCGAATGCTGTCAGCGAAGTGTGTCTACCGCAGTTCAGAACACAACCGGCTGTATTGCTGTCTTGCGAAATGACAATTTGCTTTTTAAATTATGCGATAAGGTGAATCACGGCATAAGGTTAGGTGGCATGTGTTTTTTGCCTTGCACCGAGAAGTCAGGGAGGCACACATACGCTTCCGCCAGCGACATGTACCTTGATTTCAAATATCAAATGATCGCTTTTGTCTTAAATCTTTTTTTTTGCTTACTCACCACGAGTATCTTGATGTTTATAATCGCTTTTATCGGACCCTTATGCATGCACTTGACGGCTGTGATAGCAGCACATGCCTTCAGTGTAACGGGGTTCAACATACACTGGTAACAGGGGTGTGTGTCACACAAGATGGGCATGGTGTGACCACACCCAAACAAGAATATGGTTCGGGGATAGATAGCCAGTGCTTATACATGTATTTAGATTATACTATGCATATTTAGGAAAATCTTTGCATTTTAAATTAGGCGGCTTTGCCGCAGGTAAAAAGAAATAAAGTCGGTTTAAATTTAGACCGAAGGGTTAGTTAGCCTTGGGCTAAGGCGATAATTACTCTTGGAGTAAGCGGATTGCGATCCGCTAAACACGTACTTGTTCTAAGTATAGAACAAAATGTCGGTGACCTAACTTACGCTTCCTATAAGCGCAAAGCTGCGGCAGCCCCGCTGCACTTGGTGGCACTTGTAGTCAAACTATACCTGAGTCGTTTAGACTGATATTCTGTGAGGATGAAACAATTTTCCTCTTTGCCCCAGGGCATGCAGGACGGGCTTAAAAAGCTGATCTCCTTGCTGGGCCCTGAGGGCGTGCAACACCTTGCTGATCAAGGCCCCGAGGCAATCGGTGCGTGTCTAGAGGCGTTTATAAATTACGAAAACGCGCTGCTAGAGCACCTGCAGCAGAAGATGTCTGCATCATTTGC